ATCAATATATGGAATGTAGATTCACTGGGAACACAATCTTGAGTGATAATATCATCAAATACTTTGTGGCACTTTGATAAGTGCAAGTTGTAGCTATTTTTGTATATAATTTTTGTTGCACTTATCGAATTTTTGTTGTTAATATCGTTGAATAAACCCGACTTTTGTGTAAATACGTTTAGTTTATGTTTATTTGTGTTTTTGTGTACATAGTATATCATTTGATATTTTTCCATTCATTTTGTAGGTATTTGTTTCATTTTGGAGCATTGAGGAATAAGGTGTCGAAGGCACAACTCCGAATGCATGTTTTCGAAATAAAAGATCAGTTTTGTCCAGGAGAGCCCGCTTAGCGCACAGAAGCCGCTAAACGCGGGTGCTCTTAGCGCATTTTATAGTGCGCTGCTTGCGTTTTTACTGTTTTGAAAGAAGCATTGTTTTGAAGCTCGCTTAGCACGGATAGCGCGCTTAGTGCGGTTTAGGTCAGTTTGATGTGTAAAATAAGAAAGTCGCGCTTAGCGCGCCAGGCCCGCTTAGTGCGATCTGCTGAGATTTGTTTTATAACTTCATTTCATTTATTTTTCAGGTTATGGTTTTGGGGAAGTTTTTTCTCCCAACTCCATCAACCTTTAATTATGTTAGGATTAGATTAGATAACAACTATGAAGCTTGCATACGGATGATCTGAGGTGGATTACTCTTCGATCGGTGCTGACAAACCGGTAGATTTGCGGTTCATTTCTCTTTTTCTTTGTGTATTCTTTATTGGTTGGGTTTTATATGTATTTACTTTGATCTCATGTATATTTGTCGCCCTTGGTGTTATATAAAACTTGCTTTACAAATATTTGTCGATTGTTATCCTAGATTTTTGCTGTGTTAGGAATTTGAGTTTCTATAGACATATGCTGCTTAGATTCTTATCTAAGATGATTATCTAATAGTGTCTGAATTCTAGAGATAGACTTAGCACTGTTATTTTCTTAGGATGTCTGTGATTAATTCCTCTGTGTTGTTTGTGTCACTCTGAGAGATCATCGATGCAAGCGAGCACTGTTGACTTATGTGTTGTTAAGGTGGTTGAGAGATCACTACTGAGGTGATGCAGTCGGCCTCTCAATTTGGATTAGAAATGACTTAGGTTGTGAGTGACACGTGATGACATTGATGAATATTGTAGGTTGAGTATAACAGGTCGATAAGTTTAAGCCTGTGAGAAGTAGTATATATGCATGCGTGATAAGTTATTCCTTTTTCCTTTTTATACGTTTAGTTTCTGTTGATACTTTTACTTTCAACCCATTATTCCCCAAACTCATTAACAAGAGAATTATCGAACGTCGAATCAATAACCAATCTTTGTAGACACGATACAATATAACCTAAATATCACCTGGTAAATTAACAACTTACTTTTTGCTTGTCGTTTTACTGCCGCAACAAAATGGCGTCGTTGTCGGGGATTGGTGTTTATTGTTTTTGCATTGCGATAGTTTCTTTGTTTTTGAATTTTGTAATTAATGTATATGTTGTATAGAATATGTACATAAACTTGTCTATTTTTACTTGTACATATTTTATGTTTACTTTCCATACTTGTGCATATATGTGTTTTTCTTTGTTTTCACGTATTGTTGTGAATTATCTCGTTTTCGTAACGTTTGTTGTGTGGATGTTAGGACACTTTATTTAGGTTTGCACGGTGTGACAATACCATTGCATGACAAGAGAAGGTTACTAGCTCGCAAAATAAAGGCGTCGAGCTTACGACGTAAAACAAGCATGTTTTGTTTGTATTCATTTATGTATGTGTTGACTTATGTTTTAACAAGTTGAAATTATACTTGTTTTAAATTCTCAAATTTTCACTTTTCAACTTGTTAATTCACTTTCACCCGTTAGTTTTGTTATGTCAATTTGTGTTTTTCGCAAGCTTGTCGTGTTTAGCTTGTGGAAGTGTGTTTGTATGTTGTAAATATTATACATATGTTTGAGATTGTGTAGGTGAATGTGGAGGATGCACTGTTTTCTGCTGGATTGATTTTTGCTGTTCTGGTGTAGCGCGCTTGACCGTGCTTAGCGTGCTCTCCTGTGTTACGCCAGTGAAGTTTTTTTTGTTGTAATTTTCACTTGGATTTTCTTTTCCCATTTCACCTAGGCTTTAAATAGTAAATAATAATAGTATAATTAATTCTTTTGTTGTTGTTTGGACTCAACTTTGGTTCGATAGCTTGAAGTCGCTTTTGGTGATTTTCTAAGTTTGAGTGTTTCAACTTGTAAATGCGTGGTAATGATTTTGTTAAAAGTTTTGTACACGTTCGAGGTACGTGTTTATCGCTTTCTATACTTTAGCATATTCATGATACTTAAACTTTTTACAATTTTTATGCCATTCATTCTTTTGTATACTTGTTCATTTGTGAATCACTTTAGTTCCTATCCTTTTTGTGAGGTAGCTTTCCATTGTTCACATATGCTGGAGACCACAACTCTTGTTTTAACTGGATTTTATTATGCTTAATATTTTGTTTGTATTGATTGTATGAAAGCATGAACATGATCAAGGCATTTTTTGTTCCATTTTGAGCACAACAATCTTGGCCAAATAGTCAATTCACCATGTGAGTGTGTGATCATTAGTATCCTCTTCTGACCCTTTTTGTCGATATCCATGTTGATTTTGCTAAATACTTGTATATGAGTGTTTAGTTCATATTTTTGTATGGATGTTGATTATTTAGTTTTCTTGAACCCTCAATTACGATTTTTAGTTTAATTTTTACTTTGCCTTAGAAAGTTGGGAGTATGCACATTATGATGATGGTTGAATTCAAGTTAGGGAGATAAATATTTATGTGTTTATATTGTGATTGCTACGAGGTTGTGAAAAGAAAAAGAAGAAGAAAAAATATTAAAAAGAAGAGAAAAGAAAAAGAAAGAAAAAAATGAAAAAAAAAGCTTTGAAAAAGAAAAACAAAAACAGTTTGAATAATTGTGCTAATAAGTGATGTGTGTTGGTTAAAATTTTGGAATGAAGAAGAAGTTTGATTTAAATTATTTTGCTTGAGACTTTGTGAGTTGATCACTTCCTTAGGTTTAGGTAAGTTTTTGTTTTGATTAGCTTTAGGACTTATCCATTGTTTGTTAACCAAGCCACATTACAACCTTGAAAAGCCCTTTAGATTCTTGCCTTTGTATGTTCAATGTGAATTTTTGGATGAATAAATAATTTAATCTTTTGTTTTCAAGATTATGGATGAGTGAAAATACCTTATTTTGTGTGTTTTTTATCTACCGATGATTTTTTTTTGCTAGGTGTGATTCATTTGTTAACTAGTGTTATTTTAGAATGGTTGGCATGTTCTTTGTATTAACATTTGTTTCGTGTTTATGTTATCGTCTTAGTTTATTGGTAAGTATGTTTTATCATGTGTACCATTTTTCATTTGAACCATTGCATTTGTTTTCCGTTTTTAAAACTTGTTGATTCATGATATTTTGGTTGATTACTTTTGATTCTTTGAGTTGTTTGGCTTTGTTTGAGGACAAATAAGTTCAAATTAGGGAGAGTTTGATAAGTGCAAGTTGTAGCTATTTTTGTATATACTTTTTATTGTACTTATTGACTTTTTGTTGTTAATATCGTTAAATAAACCCTACTTTTATGTAAATACGTTTAGTTTGTGTTTATTTGTGTTTTTGTATACATAGTGTACCGTTTGATGTTTTTTCATTCATTTTATAGGTATTTATTGCATTTTGGAGCATTGAGGAATAAGGTGTCGAAGGTTCGGCTCTGCATGAGTGTTTTCGGAATAAAATATCAGTTTTGTCCAAGAGAGTCCGCTTAGCGCGCAGAAGCCGTTAAGTGCGAGTGCGCTCAATGCATTTTGTAGCGCGCATAAGCCGTTAAGCGCGAGTGCGCTCAATGCATTTTGTAGCGCGCTGCTTGCGTTTTTACTATTTTGGCAGAAACATTATTTTGAAGCACGCTTAGCGCGGATAGCGCGCTTAGCGCGATTTAGGTCGATTTGATGTGTAAAATAAGGAAGTCGCGCTTAGCGTGCTAGGCCCCTTAGCGCGATCTGCTGAGATTTGTTTTATAATTTCATTTCATTCATTTTTTAGGTTATGGTTTTGGGGAAGTTTTTGCTCTCAACTCCATCAACCTTTAATTTTGTTAGGATTAGCTTAGATAACAACTATGGAGCCTGCATAAGGATGATCTGAGGTGGATTGCTCTTCGATCGGTGCTGAGAAACCGGTAGATTTGCGATTCATTTCTCTTTTTCTTTATGTATTCTCTATTGGTTGGGTTTGCATATGTATTTACTTTTATCTCATGTATATTTGTCGCCCTTGGTGTTATATAAAACTTGCTTTACAAATCTTTGTCGATTGTTATCCTAGATTTTTGCTCTGTGCTAGGAATTTGAGTTGCTATAGACATATACAGCTTAGATTCTTATCTAGGATGATTATCTAATAGTATCTGAATTCTAGAGATAGATTTAGCCCTGTTATTTACTTAGGGTGTCTGTGATTAATGCCTATGTGTTATTTGTGTCCCTCTGAGAGATCGTCGATGCAAGCGAGCACGATTGACTTCTGTGTTGTTGAGGTGGTTGAGAGATCGCTACCGAGGTGATGCAGTCGGCCTCTCAATTTGGGTTAGAAACAACTTAGGTTGTGAGTGACATGTGATGACATTGATGAATATTGTAGGTTGAGTATAACATGTCAATAGGTTTAAGTCTGTGAGAAGTAGTATATATGCATGCTTGATAAGTTATTCCTTTTTCCTTTTTATACGTTTATTTTCTGTTGATACTTTTATTTTCAACCCATTTATCCCCAAACTCATTAACAAGAGAATTATCGAACGATGAATCAATAGCCAATCTATGTGGACACGATACGGTATAACCTAAATATCACCCGTTAAATTATTAACTTACTTTTGCTTGCCGTTTTACCGTCACAACACACTTAGAAAACTTTCACTCTTTACCCATGTAATCAGCTAGCCTGGTAGAAAGAGCAAAATCAAATTGGTACCATCTTTGTTGCATCATCAATTTATATACCTTGGTAGGAGGTGGTGGAGGCATGACACAACTGGCATAGTCAAAATTGAAATATGGTGGTTTTGGAGGAATCGCAAAATCAAAATCAAAAGGAGAATGAATCTTCTCCTATTTCAGAATGGGTGATGATGAAGGTTCCAAAACTGGCAATTTAATAGTGGTATCAGCAATTGGCGGTGACGAAATGGTGAATCCACATACTTTTGTAGAAACTTCGGGTGAGTGTATTTTGTTCATATTTGGAATAGAATCAGGAGGTTTTGGTGGAGGTATCTCATCATCGATTAGAACAATATGGTTGTCCAAATCTTGTTGTTTTGCTTCAAGGTAAATGGGTTTTGGAGAAGAACTTGTAACACAGGGCATGAAAAGTGTTAATGAGGAATGTTGAAGGGAATTTAGGAAGTTAGGGTTTTTAACAGAAGAAAGTGGCTTGTGTAAAGATTCATTTGTGAAATTGCTAATATTGGAAGAGACTATAGCTAAAGTATTCAACATTAGAGACAACTCACCTTCTGATTTATCCTTAAGTGTATGTTTGTGGTTTATATCAGCAACATGGTCTTCTACAAATAATTGCAACCCGTTTGGTAGGAATGAGATCCAAATGAAAACACCAATTGATAGAAAGTTTTCCTATCAAATCTATGAACTACGGTTTTCTATAAATAAAGGGGAAGAACACTAAAAATTAAGAGAATTAAAATAAAAGATAAACTTTATTTCATTTGATTGATACCCTAATATCTCAATGAGACTATAATATATAATATTTTTAATAGATAATAAACTTAAAGACCCAAACACTACTAAAAACCCAATTCAACAACATTCAAAATAAAATAACAACTAACATAATATATTACTAATTAAAATATCTAATTGCATCTCCTATTAGTATTAATCCTTTTATATTAAGTATGAAATTTGATCTTGAAAAGAGATTTGAGAAGCTTGAAAGAGTGATGTGTGAGCTTAAAGAAGCGAGATTTGAGAGAAAGCTATAGTACTCATTAGTTGGTTTGTAACAAAACAACAATAGTTTTTTTTCTTTCTTTTTCTGGAACAGAACCAACTTGTTATTCCTAATTATGTAATACAGTTTACAACAATTTATTTCTTTTTTATTACTTGGTATGATGCAAAGTGTGAATGTGATAGTTGTTTTTATTTTGTAGTATGTAATTACTAATTAGTATGAAGGTGTTAAAGATTAAGAAAACATGGAAGTGAATGAAATTAGTGATTTTGTTGTAATTATGACTTGATCGGTTGATTAAAATATTTTATAAGTAGGCAATTATAGATTTGCATTAAAGAAGATTTTGTTGATAATAGAGCATTTCAATTTTCTATTAATGAAGTAGCAGAGTTTAAGTACTCCTTCATTCATGAGATCAAAGACTAGTTATTATTCTTTAAAGATGATGTAAATTGATGGAGAGTAAAGCTGCACTAGATTTATGAAATTTTGAATATATACGGTGATTAAATAAATTTTCATTGAAGTGTTAAATTGAATTTTGGAGTTGGCTTTAATTTTTATCATTCACTCTTTAATACCTTATATCCTTTGAATCATAGTGCAATATTCATTGTTAAATGGTGAGGTCTAGGTTATCTCTTATAAAATTGGGATAATTTATTATCAATAACCTACATCAATAAAATTTAATCACATAAAATTAATTTTTAAAATTATATATTAACCAAAAAATTTAAGATATTAGTTCTATATCTTTTCTCACTTAAAAAAAATCCAATATCATTTTTTTATTCAATGTGAGAATCACATTACTCACACTTCATATATTAATATCTTACTATTCAAAAATCAAATTATATATTATTTTCATGATTTCATTTTGATTCTTTAAGGTTTTAGATTAATATGTGATTTTAAAATTTTACTTTATATGACAAAATTTGATTTTTACACGTTATAAAGGATAAATTACCCCTAAATTTATAAGGAGTAACGAAAAATTTAACTTATTAAATTCAGTATCATTCATGTATTATAATCATTAATATCTTGTATGTTCATTCAATTAATCATTATTTCATTCTCTTGCACTATTATCGTGCATTTTTTCTGGTTTGATTCTTGAATGTGTAATCTCAGCTCTCGAGAGACACTCCTTATTGCATTTATCTCCTTTGGGCATATCATTTACATTATTCATCATCTTACATCACTCTGACTCATAAAACATTTCTACACATTTAAAACTTTCACCATCTGTTTGGTCTCTCTTTGCTGTTAGCAACGGAGAATATGGAATAGTTTTAGAAGGATTCAATCTCATTCTGTTTTTCAAATTTTCGTGTAGGAAACCTCCATGGTAGGAGAAATTCTCACTACTACAAATAATCCAATTTTTAAACGGATGCGAAGGAGATATAACTTTGGTTACACATGCGAGGTAATGAAGGACGACATCAAAACCTGTCACTTTATCCCTCAATTTTTGAATAACCGAGGGAAAAAATGGCACTAGTCACGGGTTTCATCCCCAACAACTGTATTTTTTGGATTTTCAAAACTGCACTACTTTTTATCTTAATTTTTAAATTATCCGAGGGGTAAAGTCCTATTTTCAAAATTTTAATTTTAACGTGTTTTTTTGTTTTGTTTTAATCTGCAAAGCATCAAATTTGTTGACAAATTTTAAATGTTTCTCATCATCATCAACAACAACACCAATAGGAAATAACAACAACAAAAACAAAATCAATAAATTCTTAAATATTAAATCTCAACAACAAAAATAACAACAACAACAACAACAATAATAATAACAACAACAACAATAACAATTTGAACCAGTTGTCCAGAACATCGTGTTCGACATATGTCCTTGAGGACCAGAATTTCATCTTCCTTGCTCCATAAATAAATATATAATTCTGCTAAGGACTTCCTCAGTAATGCAAAAGAGGAGGGTTGAGTGAGGGTCACTCTTCCTCATACCCCTCTCACGGTTGAAGAAGCCATTGATTTTTCCATTAAAGGATATGTAAATCTTGGAGGACTCAAGAATAGTCCAAATCCATTTGTTAAACCTATAATTAAATCCAAATCCTTTAAATTCTGCATGAAAAACACCCAGTTAAGAGAATCAAAAGCTTTAGTAATGTCAACTTTCAATGCAATATTGCCACGATGAGATTTCTTGTGGAGCAAGTTAATGGCTTCTGATGCTAAACCAATACAATATCGAATACTTTTTCCTTTAACAAAGCCTTTCTTCTCATAAGAAATAATAAGATGCATGATGGGCGCTAGACTATCTGCAAGCACTTTGGAAATAAATTTGAGTTGGAAGTTTGCAAGAGCTATAGGCCTGAAAAGATCAATATAATCAACATTAGAAGTTTTAGGAAGCAAAATAAGAAGATTGGAATTATAATTGGGAAGAATCCAAGAAGAATGGAAGAATTGAGTCACGGCAAGATAGACATCAAGGTTGATTAAATCCCTAAAAATGGTGGAAGAAGGAGGCACCAAAGCCAACTGGTCCAGGAGCTCAATCATGGTTAAGGTTGAAGATATCATTCTTTAATTCCAAGATGTTAGAAGTGTTGGTAAGCATGGTGTTAACCTTATCACTGATTAAGTTTGGGGTGCAGGAGTTAATAAGGTCAAGGTCAGGAGAGGTAGAGTTTTGGTTGGAGAAGAGGGTCTTAAAGTAACTATTTCTCCAAGAACCTCCTGGTCATAAATGAGATTGCCTTGTAATTTTAGAGCAGGAATGAATTTTATGGAATGCTTGATGTTTGCCATCCTATAAAAAACTTAGTATTTCTTTCTCCGTTTAGGAGCCATTTAACATGAGCTTTTTCTTTTCAAAATAAATTCTTAGTATGCAGGGCCTTCTCAAGCTAGATCAAGCAATTTCTCTCTTTGTTTCTAAGCACCACAGTATGAATATCAAGATGGACTTGGTTCAGAGAAACTTCAATTTACTTCACTAAAGAATGGAAATTTCCTAAAGTGTTGAGGTTCCAAAGCTTGAGACTTTTCTTCATGGCCTTGAGCTTCTCAAATAACACAAACATAGGGCAGCCATAGACTTTGGAATTCCGACTGGTTTTGATAACCTCCAAACTGTTGGGGGAGATACTAGGAGCATAGATGCATAGTGTAGGAACAAACACCTTTGTGAGAGGCACACCACTTCTCCACCTAAAACCTTAAGGTGATAGGTGAGTGGGTTCTCCCACTTATATATGCTTAAGTATCCACATTCCTATCCAATGTGGGACTATTTCTCCACTTACTCACACTTGTTATATTATTCCAACACTCCCCCTCAAGTGTGAGTCCACAATGCTCCCCCACTTGTACGACACCACTTCTTGGGCGAATTTTGCTACAAGTTCCTTCCGGTCCCTTTCTCGAACCAAAGGCTCATGATACCATGTTGGGGGGAGATACTAGGAGCATCGATGCATAGTGTAGAAACAAACACCTTTGTGAGAGGCACACCACTTATCCACCTAAAAACTTAAGGTGATATGTGAGTGGATTCTCCCACTTATATATGCTTAAGTCTCCATATTCCTATCTAATGTGGGACTATTTCCCCACTTACTCACACTTGCTATATTATTCTAACACTTTAGGTGGAGAAGTGGTGTCTCTCTCTCAAAAGTGCTTGTTCCTACACTATGCATCAATGCTCCTAGTATCTCCCCCCAATATGGTATCATGAGCCTTTGGTTCGAGAAAGGGACCGGAAGGAACTTGTATCAAAATTCGCCCAAGAAGTGGTATAGTACAAGTGGGGGAGCATTGTGGACTCACACTTGAGGGGGAGTGTTGGAATAATATAGCAAGTGTGAGTAAGTGGGAAAATAGTCCCACATTGGATAGGAATGTGGAGACTTAAGCCTATATAAGTGGGAGAACCCACTCACCTATCACCTTAAGGTTTTAGGTGGAGAAGTGGTGTGTCTCTCTCAAAGGTGCTTGTTCCTACACTATGCATAAACGCTCCTAGTATCTCCCCCCAATACAAACCACCAGTTTGATTGGTTCACATATGAAGGAATTTGGAAGAAGAAGTTGAAGGCTTGATGGAAGATAAGTTGACCTCTAAGAGAAGAGGGTGATGGTCAAACCTGACTTTTGGAAAAGTTATGTAGGAAGTTTTAAAGCAAAGTTTCAGCCAGTCTATGTTGCAAATGTCCATATCAAGCCTCTGAAGGGTGTGAGCATTACCAAGCCTCCCATTGGACCAAGTGAAAGAAGATCCCAAAGTATGAAGGTGGAACAAGTCATTATGATTAATCCATTAATGTAACTCTTTCATAGGGAACTTAGTGTGAGAAAAGGGGCCCTTGTACTCATGGGCCCTAAGAACAACATTGTAGTATCTAATGAGGCACCAGGGGACCTTATGATTGTTGAGAATGGTAGATAAGACAACCCACAAGGAACTTCTAGAGATATAGTTAGTAGAGGCATATATAGCAGTAAGGCCAAAAACTTTGTTATCAACCATTAAAGTGAAAGTTATATCTTGATCACCAACATGAATGATAATAGGAAATGAGAAACTTTTTCAAAAACATCATGGATTTGGGTATGTTATTTTATCTATCATTTACAATAATAAGCTTGTAACCAAGCTTGAGGAACAAATTTTATGGGAACCTGTCAAAAGAGATCCAAGGCTCAGAAACAAAAAGAAAATCAAGCTTGTGGGAGGTAATCATTCTCTTCAGGGCTAACCTAGTTGGGGAGTTAGCCAACCCCCTAGAAATCTAATGGATACAAATAATTTCAAAGAGGTTGAAAGGCCATCCTTTGATTTGGTTATGTATCCACTAAATTTCTCTAACTTCTTTTTCTTTTTAGCTCTAATAAGAGTTAAATATTGTACCAAGACCCCATCAGGACTATCCTCTATATCCCCATCCACTTCCTCATTATTTTCTAAATTTTCCAAAGTATTTTGTAGGAATATATCATTGTTATCCAATGGAGAGTTTTCTATAGAATCATTATCATCCTCCATTAACTGAGCTACATCAAGCAATTCCTTGAATTGAGAGCTTTCCTCAGATTCATCTTCCACCACTACTTCAATGGAATTGAATTTTTTAAGAGTTAAAGGAATGTTAACAAGCTCAACGGGTTGCTGAACATTAACATCATTACTTGCATGAGAGTCCAGAAACACCATAGGATCTTTGATACTCTTTCTTATATATGGATCCAGAACCACATGGTTATTCATAATAATAGGATCGTCTACCTTATGTTCAGACCCTTTAGGAATATGTTGTTTAGGAACATACACATTTTCTTTAGGTTTAGGATGAGCCTTTTCCATAATATTGGCTTTGAGGTTTTTACAACATTGTAAAGAGTGTCCAATAATTTTACAATGTGAGCAAAAATGCAAGAGGTTTTCATATTCAGTATCCACGAACTAAAACATTATGATGTAACATAACAGAAAATTTCATATCCATTAAAACCTTAGTGAAATAACCATAAGGATGATTAAACCTGAGTTTAGAAGCTAAAGTGTCAGGGAAAATAGGAGTTCCCACGCTGTTTGCTATTTTAAGGAGAATATCAGGTCTCCAATACTTTTGAGTAAGTCTAAAAAGGTGAATCCAAACCTGCGCGGGTGTGACCTTTTGAAGGTTTGGATTGAAATCGTTGGTCCAAGGAAACAACTTCAAAGTACTTGGTTCAAGATTCCAAGTAGGTGAAGCTCTTACCCTCTTCACATCATCAAGTGACAAGAAATATACTTGGTAAAAACCTTTTTCCTAGAGATGTAATACCCCATCTTCAGAGGTTCTTCCACAAGGGAGATAACTAGCTTGCTCTTCAAGGAAATAATGGTCAACGAGGTTGACCATTTCGTCCAGATGACTCTGCCATGGAGGTTGTTCTTGCAAGCCTCAAATCCTACGATTTATTCATCTTCTAATATGGAACTAGCAATTATATCTCCCTTTAAATAAATTTGAGGAAGTTGTGACATTGGAATGTGGCAGATGTTGGTGTTGGCATTCAAAGCATCAACAAACGATTTTTTTTGTGGATTCTATTTGAGAGACGATGATTGGGTGGTTTATATTGTTTTTGGATTCTAAGCAAGCCCAAATAATCTAGAAATATTCCATTGAGTGGCTCCGCCCCCCGGCAGAGGCCGGTTGACCTAACGATCAGAAATGAGAGAAGAGAACGAAAAGCTAGAGGAGAGAGAAGAGAGAAAAATCTCAATAAAATTAGAGATAAATCTATTTAGTAAAACCGTCTATTTAATCTTCACTCATCTTCATCTATTTATTATTTTATGTTTAACTCCAAATTTGAAAGATTTATAATTAATTCTAAAATTCTGAGATTTTTCTTAATTTTAATTCCTTTTTTGTCTTTTCATTAATCATTAATCTTTATCTCTTTCTTATTTTATGTTTGACTCTAAATTTAAAATATTAAAAATTAATTTTAAAATTTTAAAATTATTTTTGATCTTATCGGTTGATCAGAACCTGAAGTGGGCCGAGAAGGTGATGTCTGCTTGGATGGAAATCTGAGGAGAGGAAGGGGTGTACCTGCAAGGCACTCTGACACTCAAGTGAGAAAGATTGCAAAGAGATATAAGAAAGAGATTAGGGTTTTCTAGAGAGAATATTTGATACCTGACCCTCATAAGTGTGAGGGTTTATATAATTCCCCCGACGCGTAGTCATTGGGTCCTATTTTTGGGCCTAGATATTGGGTTCCACAAAAATAGGTAATTGTTAGGACTTGATCAAAATGGGCAGCCATGCTCGTAACTAGTCGTTGCTTCGAGCAAGGAGGATATTAAGGGCATGTGCATTTATGGGCGTTTCCTGATTGTCTTCTCTATAGTGTCAGGCAGACTTGGAGGTGGATGTTGATGCGGGCAGATGAGTGGTCAGAGCATCATTATCCTTACCAGCCTTGTAGTGTGGCCAATCATACGTGCTCGACCGAAGGCCAAAGTTAGTGGGCTAGAGCTATTGGTCGTGTTGGAGGTACAAGCGGATTGGGCCAATTCTAGTCATTGGGTCAGTCCAGAACAAGATCCTTCCAATTCGTTGCTTCTGGGAAAAGGAGTAATGACTTAATACATGCCCACGGTCAGGGGACACTTCATGATTTTTCTGGGAAAATTTTGTACGAGGAGCCCGAACGTTGCCCAGTGTGTTCGTCTCTCGGGGAGAGGAACAATTAATTGGACCAGAGGAGTTTGCGTGCCATGCCGGCTGTTGTACCCCAAAATTTTCCCTCTCATTTATCAAATATTTTCTCACAAGGATCTCACTTGGTTCAAGACTGCACTAGGATTGATCAGCTCAAGACATCTCCTTAAGCATTGATGACCAAAATTAAGGTTTGAGATTGCACAAGGATAATTGAACTTTCAATGCTTAAAATGACTTTCATGGATCATTATCGACCCCCAAGATTGCTCATGTCAAGTTTCAAGCCTTGGATCACACTGTTGCTCAGTCAATTGAGCAGTTGACCTAAAAATCAACTGTATTGAGGAAAAAGTCAACTGTGGCCAGTTTACAGTAAAACTTCTTAATTTTTTTTATCCATATAAACATTATAAACTCATATGTATCACTTGATCAAATTTGGACCACATTTCCCTAAGAAATTTGACCAAATCATCAAAAGGGCAAAATGGTCAAAATTAGGGTTTTGATTGAGAAAGGGCAATTTCTGATTTTTAACCTAGAAAATGGTCAGTTGGTTTGAAGCATGGTTTCAAGAGCTCAATTGCATCATTTTGACCTAATGACATGACCTAAAACATTGCTCAAGCTGAATTGGATTGATAGTGAATTTTCAATCAACTGATCAAAAAGTCAACTGTACACTGAAAAGTCAAACTTTGACTTTTTGGTCAAAATTCAATGTCAAAGATCACAATTCATCAAAACATGTAAAATATGAAACTTATTCATCAAGAAATAAAAAAGTCAAGATTTCATTTTGAAAAGTCAAAGTTTTCTAACTTAGAAATTTTTCTAAGTGTTTAAACTTCATGTTTTTTCTTAACTTTGGACTAATTTTTCACCATGATGCAAGAGGATTCAGAAGAAACTTTCAACATGAAAGTTGTAGATCTCCATGATATATAAAACATTTATTTACACAACTTCTTCTAAAAATGCTTGGATCTCAAGTTATTAATTCATAAAGTCATGGTCTTGAAATTGGACACTTAGTGAAATTTTGCCCTAGTTTTGGCCAGGATTTTGACCTATCTTCATGACATTTTTTCATATAGTTCCAAGGGGAATTTTCAAAAGTGATTCAAAGAGGAGTTGTAGATCACATTACAAGCTTTCCAAAATATCCAAGAACTCCTTGAGATCATTTTTGAGTAGGGAGAATCGAAGAGATGGAGTTAGGGTTTTCACACATGAATTACAAGTCATTTTGTGATGAACAAGATTCAAATTTCAAACCTATACTGCATAATCTATACTTTACAGGTCTCAAACTTGTTAGGCACTCCATAATTAATTTCTTTCACAGCCGTTAGAGGTCTCAATTCAAGCATTCAATGCAAGGCCATGCTTTATATCCATTTTGGGAAGAAAGTGCACAATGCCATTTTGATAAAGTAGCTTTTTACATAAAACTTGTTCTTGAGCATTGCAATTGCTTTCTTCTGATCATACAAGTCCCATAACTCAAGAGAAGCTTGTCTAGACACTTACAATCACTCAGCCCATGCTTGTACTTCCTCTTGAAACTTGTTCTCCCACTTTTCTTGAAAATCAAGTAACATAGCATTTAGCTTGTAACTTGTACTTCTAACTCTCAAAAGCACTCAAGCTTTTTGCATATACATACACAATTATTTTGTCACAAATCCCACACATGCTTAACCCCTGAAAACACCAAGAACACAGATTGATATCTCACACTTCCATTGTTGCAGATTTTGGCCAAAAATCCCAAAACCAAAAACTACTCGTGTGTTTCTTGGCTTCTTGCTTCCAAAAGCTTCTAAACATCATTTAGAAGTCATCCCTTACCCTGTTACAGTTCTGTAACACCATCTTCCTCCATTTCCAAGTCCAAAAACAGAGAACTACAAGTGGACTTCTCCAGACCATTTCAGCCACTCTCCAACCAAGCTAATCATTGCATTAGCTTCCTGGGACTCCAGTGGAGCTATACTGATCATCACAACACCTTGAGGAGTGCTCATTTGCAGAACACGATTTCCAGTTTTGAGGTAAGTTATCTCAACTTTGAACTCTTCATACAAGCATCATTAATGATTTATTTGTGAATGAAAAATGTAGATATCATTGCTCTAAAGCTAACCATGTCCATAGTTTTCATTTATGTTGCTTGAGCTTAGAGAATTTTAGGTTTGAAGTTTCTGAAATTTTTAGGGTTCAAATTAGGGCCATTAAAATTCATGTTTATCTTTGATCTATAATTTTATTGCTTTGCATTTCTGAAATTGTTAGGAAATTTGCCACAAGTTTCATGTTTACATTTTTCATTTTGGTTGAGAATTGAATAAGATACAGAGGTTCAGGCTGGGCGTGAGGTTGAAGATGAAGTTGTCTCCAGGAACGTGTTTGTCATATACATTTATGGTTTGATATTAATAAACGGATGTATAGCACCCTCAATGGTAGAAGCGCGCGCCTGTGACTATAGGGACCTGGGTTCGAGCCCCAGTGGTACCCTTTTGCATTTTTTCCAGCATTTTCCTTCTTTTTTTGTCACAACCAGGCGCCTGGGCCTAACAACTTTGGGCCTGGCTTTTTGTTCTTCCTAACTCCCTGCCTTGCTTCAAGCACCCCCCTGTCCCATTATTTCTTTATTTTTTTTTTAGTTTATTTTTACTCTTATATTTTCTTTTTATTATTATTATTGATATTATTATTATTATTATTAATATTATTTTTTTATTTTATTTTCTTATTAATATAAAAAAATCCAAAATATTTATTTTATTACTTTTTATACTCATATTTTATTTCTCTTTATAAAAACTAAAAAGAACAAAAAAACAATTTTTCTTAATAAATTAATTTCCTTTTCTTAATTAATATTTAGATAGTTATTATATTATATTATTTTCTTGTAACTTAAAATTTATTTAGAACTTAGGTTAATTTTAATCAATTAATTTTTATACTATTTTTTTAGAAACCTTTTCAAAAAAAATCCTAAAAAATCTTTTTTTAATTAATTTCTTTTCTTAATTAGTTTAAGTTAATTTTATTTAATTTTCACTAATCTTTTTTTTAATTAGGTTAAGACCCTTTCTTAAAAATCCAAACAAAGATCTATTTCCTTTCCATTTACATGATTGTATATTTATTCATTTTGTACATTATTTATTCAATTCTTGTACAAATTCAATATGGTTGTGATAGATAATTAGGTTTATTTTCTAGCAATCCCCATTTGTAATTTGTACACTCCTTTCCACAAGTGTTGTAATAGCATAGTAATTTTAAATTCCGCAATTTATCGCTTTAGATATAAATGCTAGCAATTAGGGTTTTGAATGGAAAGACTAAAACCAACCGATTAGAAAACCCTAATCAAAGATAAATCAAGCATGAAAATCAATACACTTGCACACAAGCACCCCTAGGGTAAAATCCACTTGGTTGCCTTACGAAATGACCATTGTACGCATGTGAGGTATCTTAGCAAAAACAAGTAAAAACACAATATCATAGTCCCTCGACGATGCTATCAAAAGTTGCCATTCAAAATAATCTTAGTCCCTAAAGAAAAGTGCTAAGATACCTTGCAACATTGCTAATCATGGTTATACAATGACCCATGCCCGTTCTGTGTACATCCAAAGATAGGGTTACTTACCAAA